ATATGAGCGAACTCAAGTTTATGTGTAGGTAGTACAGCACATGTTTGTTCAAAGATGAACGTGTTTCAGCTTCACTACCGTCGCTTTCCTGACAGATCAATGCAATTTTGCAGCAATTTATGTCTAGTAAACTAAAATTAGGAAAATTTACAGCTCTTTAAACAACCTAAACCAATAGTCATATATAAAATCTGATTTCTTAAACACAATCAAGTAACCTGTATTAATCAACGCAGAAGATCAGACCAACAATCCATAAAATAATGAACTGATTGGTTCGACACCTAGCTTTCTTCTAACCAACACTGTCCACATAGTATCCCGAATTAGATGGGAATTGTGATTAGAATTGTGATCGATTCACTGACCATCGCTAAAATGTGACAGTTTTCAAATACTTGTTTAGAGTTGATGGAGAACATTTCTAGCTCAGGTAGATTATTGTGGTGATGTTTCGTTCTCTAAGCTGGATATTTTGGTTGTGGAGATTTCATCATTCTTCTGTTGACTAACACTATCAGCACCAACTTCAGATAACAGAAGTGAAGTATTCGAATTTCTTCACTTGTATGACCCGTAGCCTGTTCTGTTGACATCGATCTTGATTGGTTGTTATATTGAACTCAAACCTGTAGTTGTCTAAAGTTTTTTTTGAATGTTATCATTTACTGAGAAAACACAAGTATCAAGTGTTTATCGGTTTATTTATATGAGCGAACTCAGGTATATGTGGAAGCACTACAAGGTCACCATTAGAATCTTGGAAGCAACTCAATCGCCGTTTCGTCCCAATCTGGGACTCATCAGTGGCAGTGCTCATCTACGCACGCGGTAATCGAAACTAGGACTTTCGGTCTCGCACACAAACGCTGAACCTCTTTGTTGTAACGCTTGCTTAAATAATACCCAGCTAAATCCTATTGCTTAGTATTATTCTCTGACCACAATACACTACTGGACAAGTTCCAAAGAATCAAAAACACGGTTGAACAGGAAAAAGATTATATTCCAAATATCAAAGGTTAAATGGAAATAAGAAGGCGAAGGCAAAAATAGATACAACGTTAGTTTCTTTATAGCATTTATATGAGAAGCTTCTGGATAGAAATTCACATGATCGACTGGATTAGATTTAGCCAATCAGAGTGCAACACGAAAATTTTCTACCCTGTTCTCCAAGAATCGATCAGGCGCTGATTGGATTAGGAAATTAGACAATCAGCGCGCAGCAACGTAGTCATACTTTAATTCATCTCTATCCCCCTAACACTCTTCTAGACAAATGAGTGGGCGTTCAATAGTGTAATGTCTAACTTGAACTAATCAAAGATATTGCTTAACCTTAACCATTGTCCTTGATAGGTAACTGTCGACACCCGACAGGGTTGATTCTCACTTGTCACAGCTTCTCACTAGAATTCTGAGAATTTCCTCACGAATCTAGTCACCATGAAGCACATTTTATGATTTTGCTTTATATAGTTATGAAGATGATTGAATTTCCCTGAAATTACGAATCGATCACTGTTACCCTTTCAAGTTTCTAATGATGGTCTAACAATGATCATTGTATAATCCGCATAAAACACAATGATCTCTATAATGGTGGAGAAAATTTGTATCTCAGGTGGATGATTGTGGTGGTGTTTCGTTCTCTGAGCTAGTTGTTTTGGTTGTGGAGTTTTGATTGTTCGTCTACTGAACAACATCCTCATCAGCACAAACTTCAGATGAAAGAAGTGAAGTATTCGAATTTCTCCTCAACTGACTTGTAGCTTGTTCTGCTAACCTCGATCTTGATTGTTCGCTGTTGACCTTTGACCTGTCGTTGTTTACACCCTTGTTTTGATAGCATCCCCATTTTGATATGTTTCTTGATCCTGTGTCACCTATGATTTTTCTGATTAGTTGATAAATTGGTTCAATGTCGATGTGTTTGTTGATTGCTGATTGACTTGAGTGTCAAGCTTCTAAAAATTCTCTAGTGTCCTTTGTCCTCCCCCTACCCAGTATTTCTACATTGTTCCAATCAAATGTGTGTCCACAATTGTCGGTGTGTATTGATATAAGCGAAGCGTTGTCGTGGCGTTTGACAGCTAATTGATGTTCACGTAAACGGAGATGAAGAGGTTTGTCCACTTTGTCTTATGTAGTGTTTCTTCTCACAGTTTGAGCAATTTATTTTGTAGATGATATTTGGTTTTTCTTCATTTGTCATTTTGTCCTTTGGTCTACAACATAGGATTGATTGAAGTGATTCTGTTGGTTTGTGTGCCACACCTATTCCAAATGGTTTCAGTAGTCGTGCCGTATGCTCCGATATGTCCTTGATGTATGGTAGGATGATGCGTTTATTTGTTCCTGTGCTTGATTTCACTTCTGATGATGGTTTCGGTTGATGTTTTTTGATGAAGTTGCGTGGATAGCCGTTCTTTTGGAAGATAGTCATCAGGTGTTTTTCCTCATTTTTTAATGGTTCGTATGTGCTGCAATGTGTCTTCGCTCTCTTGAACAGAGTTTGTATGCAGTTGATCTTGTGGGTTCTTGGGTTGTTGCTATCGTAGTTGAGAATTACGTCTGTGTGGGTTGGCTTCCGAAATACTTGAGTTTCCAGTTTTCCTGCGTTAGTTCTGGTGATTAGTACATCCAGGAATGATAGGCTGTTGTTTGATTCCTTTTCCATCGTGAATTTGATGTCATCGAAGACGTTGTTGATCCAATTGTAGATGTTCTCCAGCTCATTCCTTTTGATAATAACGAATGTGTCGTCTACATAGCGAACCCACATTTTTAGCTTGATCACCGGCAGAATCGACGCTTCCAGTCTCTGCATTACCGCTTCTGCGATGAGTCCTGATATTGGTGATCCCATTGGTGTTCCTTTAATTTGTTCGTAGACTCTGTTGTTGAATGGAAGATATGTTGTTAAGCATAGGTCGATGAGTTCAAGCAGACGTTTACTCTGAAACTTTGTATATTTGTGTCGTTGATGAGGAGTAGAGAAAGAGTTTCTTTAGCCAAGTTTGGCTCTATTGAGGTAAATAAGGCTGTTATGTCGAAGGATATCATTATTTCGTCGTTGTCAATTTGAATCCCAGCTCAGAGAACGAAACACAACCACGATCTCTATAATTCTATGATGAAAAAAAAAAAAACAGATTGAACACACATGTATTGATTTATAATGCCGACAAAGAATTATATTGAATGAAACATGTGATCAAGTAAAATAGTTCAGTCAATTGTTTGTTGATCAGCAAAACATGAGTTCAAAAGTTCTCATTATAACACAAGAAATATACTCACTATACTACTAGATAAGTAGTAGTTATCAATTTTTGCGTAAATCTGTTTATTTTAGTATACATAATAATATGTGATATGATTTCATGATTTCTTCTGTTATGTCGTAATATTATTATTGTTATTATTACTATTATTGATTTCGTAAAAGTGAATGAACGATTCAAAACAATGTACGATTAGGTTCATGTCAATTCACCTTGTTGTGTGTGTGGGTGCGTGTATAAGCTATGTGTAATTACAAAGTTGGTTTTCAATGAAATTATCTTGAGCAAAAATAAATCTATTGTATTGGTGGTGTCGTGTCGAATCACAATTGACTATGATGCACACTGCTGATGAGTCTTATACCAGGAGGAAACGGCCGTCCAATGCTTCCAGGTTTCTAATGATGGTCTAACAATGACTGATTGATTGATGATTTCAAATGTGTAAAAAAACACTAATCTCCATAATTCTCTAATTGAAAATGACTATGTTTACGCTCAACCTTTCTCTTTCTTCTGGTGATTAACTGGATTATGAAGACGTCAACATCTGAAGGGAAGCACGGTATTCAGTGGACAGATAGGATGCAGATGAACGATCTGGACTTCGCAGATGACTTGGCTCTTCTATCGTACGCGCAACAACAAATGCAAGAGAAGACGACCAGTGTAGCAGCAGCCTCTGCAGCAGTAGGTCTCAACATACATAAAGGAAAAAGCAAAACTCTCCGATGCAACACAACATGCACCAAACAAATCACTCTTGATGGAGATGCCTTGGAGGACATTAACACCTTTACATATCTGAGCAGCATCATCGACGAGAAAGGTGGATCCGATGCAGATGTGAGGGCACGGATTGGCAAAGCAAGGGCTGCATTTCTACAGTTGAAAAATATCTGGAACTCCAAACAAATATCAACCAACACCAAGATCAGAATTTTCAATACAAATGTCAAGACAGTTCTACTGTATGAAGTGGAAACTCGGAGAACTACACAAGCCATCATCCAGAAGATATAGGTGCTTATTAACAGTTGTCTACGTAAAATACTTCGGATTCGTTGGCCAGACACCATCAGCAACAACGAACTGTTGGAGAATACAAACCAGGTTCCAGTAGAGGAGGAAATCAGGAAGAAGCGGTGGAAGTAGATAGGACACACACTATGAAAATCACCTAACTGCGTCACTAGACATGCCCTCACATGGAACCCTCAAGCCAAAATGAAAAGCGGAAGGCCAAAAAACACATTACGCCGAGAAATAGAGAAAGGCATGACAAGAATGAACAAAAATTGGACAGAATTGGACAAGGAAGTCCAAGACAGAGTAGGTTGGAGAAAAAATGGTCGGCGACCTAATGCTCCATTGCGAGGGTAACAGGCGTAAGTAAGTAAGTAAGCAAATAAAATAAATACTGTATAATTATCATAAACTATGTTTTTTTATATTAAATCAAAGATACTGTTCAAAAAATTGTGTAACTATTACGCTAAAAACGCACGGCACAGTGTTGTTTTTCAATGTTGAAATTTAATTTTTAATTTTTATTATTGTACAATGAAACATTTCAAATATTGATAATTGAATAAAATGTACTTGATAGATAGATAGATAGATAGATAGATACAAAAAAAATATACATTTGAGTGGAAAAAATTTTTTACATAACCCAGTCAGTTGTCTATCTGTAATTTGTTTTAATTGTTAACAGTTAACATATGTATAAAAACAAATCAGTATAGTTAACAGATATCGGCTGACATAATGATACAATGTCGATTGATTGATTAATTTATGATGTATACTAATACCATTATTATTATATAAACCATTTTCATACTGATTTGATATAATTTGTAAATTTTCAATAATTTGTATAAATCTTACACCAAGCCATGCTTCGTAAGTTTGATTTTCCCATGGAATTAAATTTAAACTCTCTGTATCATCACTAAATATTAAATCTTTTTGACCAAATTCAGAATTGAACATTTGAAAAACTGGATCACTAATTTTGATAGGAAAAAAAAAAAGAAAGTATACAGTATTGATTATTATTATTATTATTGCTGTTAATAGTTGTTGGGGGAATGTGAGATCCCCAAAACTCGCTCGCTTGATAAAAAATGCCTTATTTGTTGGATTTCATGTTTGTCAGCCAGCATGGGCTGATCAGTTGACCTTGAGATCGCATTTCTCACCAGGAAAATCCTCGGCTGTGATTGTGTTATGCCTGCACGTAAACATGTCAACTTGATATATACTTGAACTATTACGAGTTTACCTAGTCGGAACCGAGAGCGAGGATCCGGTGACACGACATGTTACTCAAATCCGATTATTACAACCCCCATATTTAGTTAAAATAAGAAGACATGATATGAAGTAGAATCTGTATTCTACAAGCATCCAGAAAGTACGAGGTCCGAATCCAGAAGAGAATCAGGATCCCGGACTAGGGATCCGGGACCGAGCCCTGGTCCTGGTCGTGGTAAATAAACGTTACAGATAATGCGTATTTATACATTTTGGTCGAACAGGAAACAGCATCGAATTCTGTGGCACTGACAATGAAGACGACCAATAGGAGGTAACATTTGAAATGACATTGACAGTCAGGATGACCAATGAGAGACAACATTTAAGTATTTGACTTTGAGAATTAAAACGTCCATAATTTTGACCAATAGAGATCGACCAATAGGATTTTTGACCAATAATTCTCTTAGGATATTGGATGAATATCCTAACAGATTGGCTGCTGTGTACTAGAGTGTGCTTTATTTGTAACTGTCCCTAAGGATGTTTATATGATGTATAAATAAACGAGAGTTGTGTGCTTGATTGTATTGTATTGTGATTGCTGGGTGTTTGTACAATATACTTTCTACGCTTATCAAGACTTCTGTTTTGGGATTCAAGGTAGCCTATCTGGATGCTGGTTCATTGTCTGGTTCGCGTTTATCGACTAAGGTGAACTCGTAATAGCTTCAAGCATACTTAGTGACGAACATAATAATACTGAAACATTATTTATTAATAGCAGTCAAAGAAGGCAGTTGTCCTCTCGAAGATATTGTTTACTAAACCTGATTTCATTATCTTCAATAAATTAGTTTTCATAAAGGAAATTATCAATCAATGTTTATTGACTGGTTCAAGTATAATACCTGACCGTAGCTGCTGCCTTGACGTGAAGGTCGAGCTTGCTTATTGTGGTGACTAAACTGAGATATATTGGCTGGAATGTATGTTCCTGAAGGTTCTACCATGTCAGGCAGGTCGATTGGAGAACGATGAGACTAAAAACAGCTAATGAAGGTAGGAGGGCGAAGTTGTACTGCTAACTGTAGGAGGGTGTGACAGTAGTATGGTGTCTCCCTTTGACAACCAGCATCTGCAGCGATGTTGCCTTATCACAACGGAAGGAAGGGTTTAGAAAAGATCGACCATAAAAATGTCACACCTCGCCCTACCTCACCGATTTCTGTCTCCGGCGGTAAGGCCTTTTAGAAAAACGGTGAGGCCAACACTTTAAAAACTCATAAAAAGGCTGTATGTGCTCGGCCTCAAGCAGTTGTCCCTTGGACGTTAAGACCAACACTAATCTACCTTCCTTTTCATGTTCCTCAAGAAACGCCCTTCCATCGTGTGGGCAATCAACAAGTGACATCTTCCCACATACTCGTAACAACACACGAAACCGAATTAGTCAAGTAAAATTCGATAATTTTGACTGTCGAATGAAAAAAAACCTAATACCATACAAATTTATACAATAATTTATCACTTACAATCAGTCAAACAATGTCACACTGATTAAAGTTAGTGCTAAATAAATTTTACTCATCAAATTACTATGCAACCACTAGTTTTAGAGCTATTTAACTTTGTAATGTACTTTGATCAATGTTAAATAATTATAAAACATGGTTGTTAATCGTGAAAAAACCATTTTATCATGTTTTTGTAATTTGCGCTGATTTGGACTCTTGATGAGTTACTTACTTTACTTCTAATTCCCTGGCAAAAAACTGTCTGATTTTCAGATCATTGAAAATCTGTTCCTGTGACGACTGCACGTAAACACGTCAACTTGATATGCTTGAATTATTACGAGTTTACCTTAGTCGGAAAACGAGAGTGACGATAGAGGATCAGGCGACACGACATGCTACACGAATCCGATTATTCCAACCCCCATATTGAGTAAAAATAAAAAGACTTGACATGAAGTAGAACATGTATTTTACAAGCATTCAGAAAGTACGAGGTTCGAATCCAGAAGAGAATCAGGATTCCGGACCAGGGATCCGGGACCGGATCCTGGTCCTAGTCATAAAACGTTACAGATAATGCGTATTTATACATTTAGGTTGAATAGGAAACAGCATCGAAGTCTGTGACATTGACAGTGAAGACGAGCAATAGGAAGCAACATTTGAAGTGACATTGATAGTCAGGACAACCAATAAGAAACAACATTGGAGCACATGACATTGACATCTAGGACGACCATAAAATTGACCAGTAGGTATTAACCATTAGGAATTGGCCAATAATTCTCTTAGGATATTGGATGAATATCCTAACAGTTCCTTTCATACTATATCAGTGAATTTCGATATGCTTGGATTAATGGCATCAGTGATTACACTAACAACTGTATGTCATCCACCAATAAGGATGATTCTCGTTTTCAAATTTTGTGTCGGTGAAAGGATCAGAAATCCTTTCTCATTTAGTCCTCTATTATGCAGAAAGACATCCTTACTGTTCACTCTCGTCTTGTACTTGAATATTAAAGCTCTTAGTACGTTCAGAGAATTCGGATTTGTAATAGGCAACTAGCTGATAGTGAACCAAGACATCTGTCCTATTCAAATTTCTGCTGAACGTTTGTGGTGGCCAATTACTGCGTATTCTCTTAAGCTCGGTAATTAGCTCGTCTAGACAATCGTTACAAAGTAGCAGCGTCTGACGGTTTTTATAAATCAGAAGGTGAACTGGTAGTGTGTTGAGTACGTTTATTCGGGATACACCACAAAGCGAAGCGGAGAAGCAGTGAATAAAACGAATGAAGCGACGTGTATTGGAGAAGGCTGTTGAGACAACTCCCAAGATTACAATGCGAACGAATGGGCGAAGGAAGCGAATGAATAGGTGAAGCGCGTTGGAGAAGGCTAATAAGCCAACTCCAAGAGGTAGAGCATGACTAAGAACATCTAGTCAGACAAATATAAGACAGACATGTGGTCAACGAGATAGGTATGCACACAGATGAATAAAAGTGACGAATAGTTGACAAGGTCAAATGACAAGTGGAACACGTCGCATGTGAGCTCATACAAACCAGACAATAATAAGAATGAATGGTACATAGAAGTTGTTGCTACTACGCGCAAATGGCTTGGTTAAATAAATTAATCGAAAGGGCTTAACCAAGTTAGATATAAGCGAACTGGAATATATGTTGATGCACTACACGTTTAACTGGTACTACATCCTTCGAAATGTCAGATGCTGTAGACACGATTCGATACATCACCCTCCCTAATGAAATTGTTTTGTCTCCTAATGCGCTGAGTATTTTTTACTGCATCTGTTCCGTTCCGGTGCTTCGTAATAACGCTATATTTCGCAAAATAGGGTAATACTATACTCGTCAACTGATATGCTTGAAACTATTACGAGTTCATCTTAGTCGGTAAACGAGAGCCAAAACTAATGATACAGTGACATGATAGTCTATTCTAATCTGAGCGTCCCAAGTCCCCACGAAGTAGAGGAAGAAGTATTGACAAGACGTGGAAAGTGTATTCTACAAGCACCAAGAAAATATTAGGTTTCACAAGCACACAAATCGAGTTCATTTATGAATGGTAGAAACGTCCCATACCAGGACGAAACGACCGTTCAGTACTTCCAGGTTTCCAATGGTGGTCTAACATTGATTGATTGATGATTTTAAATGTGTAAAAACACAAACCTTCAAAACTCTGCCCGAAAATAGTAAATTTGAGAGAAAAAAGAGGTTGATTAGTTTGTCCAAAATTCAGGACAAACTATATGAGCGCATCAATTTTAGTCTAGACACTACAAGTCAAGTCACAAATGCGAATAATTTGAGTGAATGTACAGACGATAATCAATCAAATCCTTTGTCACGAATACAATCAGTTGATAAATACATAATTTTCGAAAAAAAGACTAAAAGCTCGCTACTTTTTTCAATATGTGTTGATAACATTTATTGGAGAGTCAACGAAAACTTCATGACCAAACCATCTAAATTATAGGATGAACACCTTCATCAATAATAACTAATTCTCAGTGTTAGTGGGACATAGATGGAAATAAAGCATGACTGCGGTGCTGCTCGCTGATTGGCTAGTTTCCTATCCAATCAGCGCCTGACCGAAGCTTGGAGAACAGGATAGAAAATTCTCGTATTATTAGCTGCATGCTGATTGGTCAAATCCAGTCCATTCGATCGCGTGAATTTCTATCCAGTAGCTTCTCATGTAAATGCTATAAGGAAAGTAACGTTGTATCTATTTTTGCCCTTCGCCTTTGCCATCACCTCTGGCTTCTTATTTCCATTTAACCTTGCTATTTTGGAATATAATCTTTTCCTGTTCAACCGTGTGTTTTGATTCTTTGAAACTTGTCCAGTGTATTGTGTGGTCAGAGAATAAATACTAAGCAATAGGATTTAGCTGGGAATTATATTTTAGCAAGCGTTACAACACTCAGGTGTAATTTAAAATAGAACTTAAGAAATTTTAGGTTTCACAACAAAATAAATTGCGGAGAGGCTGCGTGCATTGCGAATCTAACTCCTGATTCAGTCGTTTAAAGGAAATGTAGTGTCTGAAAGACTTGAAGTTTTTTTCAGTTTTTGATTCATAAACACGCTGTTGGTTTTTGCAATTCTGAATATTTCAAACTGAAGACAAAACATTTTATGGGATATTCAGCCAATATTAGTTTAAGACGTGCATTATATGTTTAACAATCCAACCATACTGATAAATATCTGTGTTTCACTGTCTTTCAATTTTCAGTTGGTTTCTTAAACATTACTACTCATCGGAAATATATGCAGCGGAACGACTCACTTTTTCAAACAATAATTTTACACAATTTTGTGTTCAATATACTAGTTAAGTGATATGCTTGAAACTATTACGAGTTCACCTTAGTCGGTAAACGTGTAGTGCGCGCTACTTATAAGTAGTTTGTGACGCGAGTGTCAACGTAATGTCTAGCAGCAGAAGATGGGGGAAGATCAAGAAAGGAAGATTGGGAACACAATGGAATTTGTATGAAACGCATGAATAGTGAAATGTCAGACAATGGATTGATGATGGATTGAAGATGTGCAAATTAACCGTTTACGATATGGTTTTCCTATTTTATTGAGTAACTCTGTAATTTTCGTTAAATACAATTCGGTTGCCCTCACCTGTGTTTTCCTTCATTACAAACGAAGCACAGATAAATGATACAGTCACACGATAGACTATTCTGATTCGATTGTCCCTAGCCCGGGCTAACTATGGCAGAAGTCTTGATATGGCGTAGAAAGTGTATTCTACAAGCATCCAGAAAATATGAGGTTGACAAGCACACAGATTGAGTTTATTCATACATGATAGAAACATCCTTGGGAGAGACACAATAATAGCATACTAAAATAATACATCAACCAATCACGGTCATGGATTATTTTCCCAGGTAGGAAATGTAATCTCAAGGTCAACTAATCGTCTCTCTTGGCGCGAAAACACACACACACAAGAAAAATCCAAAATTAGGACCTTTTCAAAAAATGAGTTCTAGGAATCTAAATTCCTCAACATGAATATTATACAATCTCACTTAGTTTTTGTAAATAATCCAGTTATACGAAGAACTATGTGTCTCCATTCTCCGGTTACACTGTGAAAGTTACAATTTAAAAAAAACGAGTTATTATGTAATCAACTTTGTAATTATCACTTACTTATCAGATGAATAATATTCTTGACCATATTGTAATAAACGCCACATATTAGTTCGTTCATTTTCAGATTTATAATTAGCTGTCACTACAACATTACTCGGAATTTTGCCAAGATTACAATGTAACCAATCATGTGCTTCAGCACGTCTCCCATCTGGACATAATAATTCATAATTATCTTCACGTAAATCACGTGCCCAAAAATTTGGATTTCTGCAGTGTTAAAAATAATTATGTACAAAATGAATATTCATTTCATATGGTATATATATATATATATTTGAATCTGTTAGTCTACTTGACGGGGACAACTGAGTAAGTAATGCTGTTGTTAGGAAACGAGTACTAGGTATGGATGGCAGATCAATAGATGAAGTGGTGAAACTACATCAGTTGCCGAGGTGGTTGGGACATGTGTTACGAATGCCTAACCACCGACTGCTGCGACGAGCAATGTTTTGTGGTGTAGGAGTAGGTTGGAAGAAAGCTAGGGGCGACCAAACCCAAACATGGCAAGAATCCATGAAATCACTGACAAATGGACTGAGTCATGTTGGTGGATGCAGGCTACCTGGTTGGGGTCCGCGAGATGAAAGTAACCGATAGTTAGAGACCTTGAACGACATGGCTCAAAATCGTTTGCAATGGCGCAAGTGCATCCATTCGTTGTGCTCTCTCAAATCCTTATCTTCTGGATTCGTCAGCACCTCTACCTTTGTCTTTCTAACCTTATCTCACTGAATTATACTTCTTGAATAATATCTTCAAACCCTAGTCTTCCTCATTTACCATTAATACCTCTACTATATTTATCACAATGGCATTTGATTTGACATTTGCGTCTGTGTGCTCCTGATGTGATATGGCAACCTGAACTGATGTACTTACGTACGAAGTTCTATGTTGCAACTGACTGACTGACTGACTCTACTTGACGATGACTACTACAATGAAAAAACATGCAACAAGAGAATTGATAGTGGTTTTTGTGAATTATTTTGAATACGAAGCTGTTATTGACATTATGTCAACGAATCATTGGGTGCCAGTGTCAGATTCTTCGGATATGGCGGTTGGAGTTCACCGAGATAACATCTGTGAGGTCTGTTTAAGGCTAGAAGACTACTATCCTGATTACTCGGACATATTTATTCATATTGTTAATCAATAACGTAAGTTTAGTTCCAAAATAAATCGTAATTCATAAAAATTTAAGCTGACCATTAAAGTAATAAGCCAATGACAATAACAACCAATCATAAAGCAGCTCAACGTAAAATGACGAAACCAAAATGGCTGCCTACGCAAAAAATGTTTCAACCAATAAAAACATAGGCAGTTTGTCGACGATTAATTCAACCAATGAGACACATGTAAATTCGTATGTGCAAGGGTGACATACACATATACATACATAAAGGAAAAAGCAAAATTCTCCGATGCAACACAACACACACCAACCAAATCACTCTTTATGAAGATGCCTTGGAGGACGTAAAGATCTTAATATATCTGGGCAGCATCATCGACGAGAAAGGTGGATCCGATGCAGATGTGAGGGCACGGATTGGCAGAGCAAGGGCTGCATTTCTACAGTTGAAAAATATCTGGAACTCCAAACAACTTTCAACCAAAACCAAAATTAGGATTTTCAATACAAATGTCAACACAGTTCTACTGTATGGAGTGGAAACTGGGAAAAATACCAAAGCCATCATCCAGAAGATACAAGTATTCATTAACAGTTGTCTACGCAAAATACTTCCAATTAGTTGGCTAGACACCATCATTAACAACCCATTGTGGGAAAGAACACACAAGATTCTAGTGGAGGAGGAAATCAGGAAGAAGCGGTGGAAGTGGATAGGATACACACTACGAAAAGCACCTAACTGCGTCACGAGACAAGCCCTCACATGGAACCCTCAAGGCAAAAGGAAAAGAGGAAGGCCAAAGAACACACTACGCCGAGAAATAAAGAAAGATATGAGAGGAATGAACAAAAATTGGACATACCTAGAAAGGGAAGCTAAGGACAGGGTTGGTTGGAGAAAACTGTTGGGCGGCCCATGCTCCATTGTGGGTAACAGGCGTAAGTAAGCAAGTTGGAGACATCAGAAAGCTAGTTCGATCAAAGGGCGTCTGGACTAGACGTCATTCAACTACAAATTTTCTCCACCATCTCATTATCGACAATCGAAATAACTTGTAATAACACCGTATGATTTTTTTAAACTCGCTGAACAAGTAAACAGTTTGAGACAATTTGCCTGATGTAACAGTAGCCTGTTTTCAAGGTTAAAAATGATTACAGAATAAAAAAAATTTTTCAAACTAACCTTCCACCAGTATTGGTATGAACTGTTGTATGTCGAGCAAACGCGATATCTGCACCTTCTATTAAACATCGAAATGCTCCAGCATCTCCATAATACAATTCTAAATTATCTCGACGACATCGATCAGCATTACCACCAGTGCATAATTCACAAAGATTTAAAGAATTTGTTCCAGTATGATCATAAGCTTTGTTTAATATTCCAGGTATACATGCTCGACTGATTAATTCACCTTGATTATCAGAGAGAAAAAAACTAGTTTCTGTTAATTTAGCTATTCTCGATATAAGGTTGTGTACATTGCAATCACGCACCAATCAATGTTAGACTATCGTTAGAAATTCGGAATCACTTTCTGACTGTTTCATTCTAGTATGGGATTCATCAATAGTGCCCATATGCAACTGTACTAGCCAGAATCTGTTGTAACGCTTGCTTAGATATTTCCCGGCTAATTCCTATTGTGCTTAGTATTCTCTGACCACACAATACACTGGACAAGTTCCAAAGAATCAGAAAACACGGTTGAACATGAAAAGATTATATTCCAAATAGCAAGGTTAAGTGGAATAAGAGCCAAAGGCAAGAAGGCGAAAATAGATACAGCGTTAGTCTATTTATAGCATTTACATGAGAAACTTCTGGATAGAAATTCACGTGATCGAATGGATTAGGTTTAACCAATCAGCACGCAGCTAACAGTACGAGAATCTTCTACCCTGTTCTCCAAGTTTCGGTTAGGCGCTGATTGGATAGGGAATTAGCCAATCAGCGCGCAGCAACGTAGTCATGCTTTAATTCATCTAAGGACATTTGGTCTCATGCGAGAACGATTAACATATTGACCACTAACTAAGTCAGCATCTGACGTTGTTTTAATGTCTGACTTTAGTCAATCTACGATATTGAGCCACCATCATCGTAGTTTTCGGTGAGTAACTTCCTTAGACCTGAGACGGTTTAACTTCATTGGCTACGGCTACTGAGAATTCCCTTACGAAGCTAGTTACTAGTGGGCATGTGATAATTATCGATATAGGGTTGTATAAGTTGTTGAGTTTTGTTTGAATCAATGGTATTCTACCCGATACAGAAGGCTCGATTGGCTTTTGCCAACCTGCGTCAGTTATGGTGCAGGCGAGATATCCGATTGTTAACCAAAGGACGAGTGTACTTCGCTACGTCCTACTGTACGGTTGCGACACTTGGCAGTTAAGAGTAGAGGACTTCCGTAGGTTACTAGTCTTCGATAATAAATGTTTAATAAGCAATGCTCGTATATCGTGGGACAACCGAGTAAGCAATGCTGTCGTTAGGAAACGGGTGCTAGGTAAGGATGGCAAATCAGTAGATGAAGTAGTGAAACTTCATTAGTTGAGGTGGTTGGGACATGTGTTACGTATGCCTAACCACCGACTGCCGCGACGAGCAATGTTTTGCAGTGTAGGAGTAGATTGGAAGAAAGCTAGTGGCGGCCAAACCAAAACATGGCAGCAATCCATGAAGTCATTGACAAGTGGACTGAGTGATGTTGGTAGATGTAGACTATCTGGTTGGGGTCCACGAAACGAAAGTCACCAATGGTTAGAGACCTTGAGTGACATGGCTCAGAATCGTTCGCAATGGCGCTGGTGCATTTATTCTTGGTGTTCTCTCAACTCCTAATCTTCTGGATTCTGCAGCACCTCTAGTTTTGAATTTCGAAACTTTTCACACTGAATTATACTTCTTGAATAATATCTTCTAATTCTAACCTTTCCGATTACTTCTGATAACTTTACTACCTCTACTACTATTGGATTTGAATTGACAATTATATCTCTGTGCTGATGTGATATGGCAACATGAACTGATGTACTTACGTACGAAGTTCCCTGTTGCATCTGACTGACTGACTGACTTAAATAAATAAGATCTACAAAGTTAATTGGAAACATTCACAATTCATGTTAATTGCGTAAAACACTTCAATACTGAATAAGCATTGAATCTTGATAAATTCAACTATTCTAATCTATAACCATAGTTATTGGCAATCAAGAAATATCCCCAATAGAATCAAATATAACACACCACATTTCGAGATGGTGGAGAAAATTTGTAGTTCAGATGAATAATTGTGGTGGTGTATCGTCAGTCAGTCAGTCAGATGCAACGTAGAACTTGCGTACGTAAGTACATCAGTTCATGTTGCTATACCACCACATTAGCACAGAGATGTAACTGTTAGTTCAAATCCCATAGTGGTAAAGATAGTAGGAGTAATAATGGTAATAGAGAGGATTAGGGTTTGGAGATATTATTCAAGAAGTATAATTCAGTGAGATAACTTTGGAAAGGGAAAGATAGTGTTGATGAGGAATTCAGAAGGTTAGAACACAAAGAATAAATGCACGGGCGCCATTGCAAACGATTCTGAGCCTTGTCATTCAAGGTCTCTAACCATTGGTGACTTTCGTCTCGCGGACCCCAATCAGGTAGTCTACATCTACCAACATGACTCAGTCCACTTGTCAGTAACTTCATGGATTTGTGCCATGTTTTGGTCTGGTCGCCCCTAGCTATCTTCCAACCTACTCCTACACTACAAAACTTAGCTCGTCGAGGCAGTCGGTGGTTGGTGATTTGTAACACATGTTCCAACCACCTCAATTGATGAAGTTTTAATAATTCGTCTGCTGATGTGGTGTTTCGTTCTCTGACCTGGATGTTTTGGTTGTGAAGCTTTCATTGTTCTTCTGTACAACATCACGAGCGCAAACTTCAGACGGAAGTGGAGTAAAATTCACCATGGAAAAGGAATCAAACAGCAGTCTACCATTCCTGGATATACTAATCACCAGAACTAACATAAGAAAACCGCAAACTCAAGTATTTTGGAAGTAAACCCACACAGACCTAATTCTCAACTACAGTAGCAACTACCCAAGAACCCTCAAAATCAACTGCATACAAACTTTGTTCAAGAGAGCGAAGACACACTGCAGCACATATGAAGTATTAAAAAACGAGGAAAAACACTTTGTGACCATCTTCCAAAAGAACGGCTATCCACAAAACTTCATCAAAAAACATCAACTTAAATCATCAACAGAAGCGAAATCGAGCGCAGCAACCAATAAACGGATCATCCTGCCATACATAAAAGATATATCGGAGCAGATAGCATGACTACTGAAACCATTCGGAATAGGTGTGGCACACAAACCAACAGAATCACTTCAATCAATCCTATGTTGCAGACCAAAGGACAAAATGACGAATGAAGAAAAACCAAATATCATGTACAAAATAAATTGCTCAAACTGTGAAAAACACTACATAGGACAAAGTGGACAGATTCTTCAGCTTCGCTTACGTAACCACCAATTAGCAGTCAAACGCCACGACAACGCTTCGCTTATCTCAATACACACCGACAATTATGGACAAACATTTGATTGGAACAACGTGGAAATACTGGGTAAGGGTAGAACAAAGAACACCAGAGAATTTTGAGATGTTTGGCCCTCAGGTCAATCAGCAATCAACAAACACATCCATATTGACCCAATTTATCAACCAATCAGAAAAATCATAGGTGACATACGATCAAGAAACAGATCAAAAGGGGGGATACAATCAAAACAAAGTTGCAAACAACGACAGGTCAAAAGTCAACAGCGACCAATCAAGATCGAGCTACAGGTCAAACGTGGAGAAATTCGAACACTTCACTTCTTCTATCTGAAATCTGTGCTGATAATGATGTTGTTCAGTAGATAAACAATGAAAGCTTCATAACCATAAAGCATCCAACTCAGAGGGGACGAAACGCCACCACATCACATTTCTCTTTTTCCACTTCATAATTGCTTCCAGTTGAAACCAACTTCAAAAACACTATTAGTTTTACATTAGAACTAATAAAATGTTTTAAAATTGTTGGGCAACCACTTGTTCAAATGATAAATATTCATTAGTTCGGAGAAGATTCCTCATGAAGCTAGTCACTAGTGAGCACAGGTAATTTGCATTATGTGGTTGTGACGATTGTTAAGTTACACATTTTAAAATCATCAGTCGACCTAAGACAGTGTATGAAATTACGCAACTCCGTGAATTGATCAAGTTAGACATTAACACTGTTAAATACTGGCTCAGTCGTCCATAAGTTAGGCGTTCAAGCACAAGATTGAACGCCCTGGGTTTGAAACCTGCGTGGTGCGGAATTCGTGGATGCAGTCAGTCAGTCAGTTGCAACGTAGAACTTCGTACGTATGTACATACGTTCAGGTTCCCATACCACATTAGCACAGAGACGCAAATGTCAAATCAAATCCCATAGTGATAAAGATAGTAGAGGTATTAATGGTAAATGAAGAAGACTAGTATTTGAAAATATTATTCAAGAAGTATGATTCAGTGAGATAAGGTTAGAAAGATAAAGGTACAAGTGCTGACGAATCCAGAAGATTAGGATTTGAGAGAGCACAACGAATGGAAGCACTTGTGCCATTGCAAACGATTTTGAGCCATGTCGTTCAAGGTCTCTAAACATTGGTGACTATCGTCTCGCGTGCCCCAACCAGGTAGGCTACATCTACCAACATGACTCAGTGCACTTATTAGTGACTTCATGGATTTCTGCCATGTTTTGGTCTGGTCGCCCCTAGCTTTCTTTCAACCTACTCCTACACTACAAAACATAGCTCGTCGAGTCAGTCGGTGGTTAGCCGTACGTAACACATATCCTAACTACCTCAACTGATGAAGTTTCACCACTTCATCTATTGATCTGCCATCGTTACCTAGAACTCGTTTCCTAATGATACCATTGCTTACTCGGTTGTCCCACGATATACGACCTTTTCTAACCCTTCATTCCTTGTGAGAAGGGAGCATCGCTGCACATGCTGGTTATCTGAGGGAAACAACTTACTGCTGTCACACCCCTGCATCACAGTCAGCAGTACGACTTCGCCCTCAGATCTTGAGTAGCTGCTTTTAGTCTCATCGCTCTGCAGTCGACCTGCCTGGCATGGTAGAACCTTGAGGAACATATGTTCCTGCCAATATAGCTCGGTTGGGTCATCACGATAGGCAAGCCCAACCACCACGTCAAGGTAGCAGCTTCGGTCGGGGAGTCGTGGATGCGCACTGCCACTGATGAGTCCCACACCAGGACTAAACGTTCGTCCAGTACTTCCAGGTTTCTATTAGTGATCTAGCATTGGTCGATTCATGGTTCCAAAAATGTGTAATTTAACAGTCTTCACAAACCCCGTAATGAAATTTATATTCGTGTATTTTTTGGACAAGAAAATCAAATTTAACCACTTTGTTAATTAAAAACTCTAACATTGAATCGGTATGTTTCGGTATGAATTCGTGAATAGATTTTTTCATTGAAAAATCCACTAATTAATTAACCGACTAATCAATTATCCAATCAGTAAGACAAATGAATTATTGATTATTTGTGAATTTTTTTTTCTTCAGTTCAAATATACCAGTAGTTTTGTTGATCTAATTAAAATGAATATTTTCATTATTATATAGAGCGAGTTATGAAGATTGTTAAATTTCATTTGAAATAATGAATCGATCATTGGTAAACTGCTATTATAAACCTGAAAGCATTGGATGACCGTTTCTTTCTAGTATGGGGACTCATCAGTAGTCAGTATCCGCAACGCTCGCCGGCAGGAGTCGAACCCAGGACCAATGAAGTTCAGTCCTGTCAGGTGTAGGCAGTTACCTACCTAACGAAGAGATTGAGAGAGATTGAACAATATCTTGGATGAATTAAAGTTAGACCACTCAGTGGTTTAGAGAGAGACCAAGGGTTCACGCTCAAAACCAAAGGTCCTAGGTTCGACCCCCGTTCATGGAATTTCTAATGATGGTCTAACAATGATTAATTTATGATTTCAATGAAAATGTATATCATAGCAAATATGATTAGATTGTTAAATGTGAAACTTCATGAATTATTGTTTCCCAACAACAGACC